TCATTTTATGTGGCCCCCTGAAAGAAAATCATATGTGTCAACTTACAGGATCCTTGCGAAAAAAATGCACTGAAATGTCAAATTGTGACGTGTAATAAATGACGTTGAGATTTTGCAATAATTTTGTTACCCATAAAAGTAATAATGCGTTAGGTGCAATTAAACATTTTTTGTTGTTTCACTGTCATAACGGCACTCTGAGGGAAGATGTAACTCAAAAGTGGCCCGCGACAAAAATGAGTTTGACACCCTTGTTATAGTCTGTTAAGAGGTAAGGTTGTTCTTATTTGCAACCACCGCAAGAAAATAGATTTCAAACAGGATTGCTGCTGGTACGGCTGTCCAAATTCAAGGACTATCCAGACCTTGCACCAACCACTTTTGGTTGACTTTTCCACTTCACGCTCAAGAAAGACATTATTTCCTCTGGGGCCTGCCCGGCTGTAAAAGTCACCTTCTAATACAGAAACATCTTGGGAACTTCCTCTGACAACCTGCAGCTAACATACAGGACAGTGCCTGACACCATTCTAAAAGTAGTAAATGTTGAACCTTTTGTCACATGTCAGTGTATTTTATTTAAATGCTTCCAGATGTTCATTAAATGCATTCTGTGTTTACCCCATCCCTTCTACACACCTTGATTGTAAGAACTAACAGGTTTCTTGTTTGCTCACTTCAATCTGAGTAGTAGTCTTCCTGAGCTCATGCAGATGGCATGGCACACAGACTTCATTGTTGCACTTTGGACTCGTTACAATTGGGAAGCTGATTGGGTTGAGAATATTTTCTTAAGCTGCAGATAATATCCATAATGAATTCATTTATTTGGGATTTCACTTTTGTCCTAGGTCACTAAAATCACAAGGAACATGCACTGCCCAAGATTTTGAGGAATAAACTGTCTCAGCTGAGAGACAATACATTCAGAATGGCAGGAACATTCTAAGAACCATAACGGAATCTGACCGTCATAAACACCAAAGTGGAAACACAAACACAAATACATATTTGACTTTGTGGTTTGCAATTTGTATATTGTAATATAATAAGAGTCAAACGTTTGGACACACTAACAAATGGTATAAAGGACAAATCCAAATTTTGATTCACAGGCTTCTTGACTTATGCCGCATTTAACCTGGCAACCCATGGTGAAATTCACATCTTTTTGAGCCTTCTACATCAAACTCTACTCTTTCAACTTAGGCTGTAAGCACCTCATGGACCAAACTTATGAATGTTTCAAGTACACGTACAATGTATGCACATTATAACACAATGCCCTTCGAACTTTTTGTCAACACTTGTGGTTAGCGCGTCGACCTCACAGTGTAGAGGTGCAGGGTTCGATTCCGGCTCTGGCCTCCCTGTGTGGATTTGCATGTTCTCCCCGGGTCTGCGTGGGTTTCCTCCAGGTACTCCGTTTTCCTCCCACATTCCAGAAACATGCATGGCATGCTGATTGAGTACTCCAAATTGTCCCTAGGTATGAGTGTGAGCATGGATGGTTGTTCGTCTGTGTGTGCCCTGCGATTGGCTGGCAACCGGTTCCGGGTGTCCCCCGTCTACTGCCCGAAGACGACTGGGATAGGCTCCAGCACCCGCTACGACCCTTGTGAGAATTAATTGGATCGGAAAATGGATAAAAAATGAATGAATATTCCATAGCCTGATTTCATTTTTAGTGACATTTTATTGTTGTTGTTCTATGACCTTTACTGTATGTGTGTTACTTTCATGTACATCTTGTTCTGTGAACTTCAAGTCTCCCAGTCTCAGAGACTGATGGTGGCCCATTTACGACCATAGGTGAAACCTGCTCTGGACTCTGTCCAATTTGGAAACCAGCCCCATGTTGACGTGGATGATGCTGTCACCTACCTGATGCATCGTCCTCACTCACATCTAGATGAGAGTGGAGACACTGTGGGGGTCATGTTTTTTAAAGTGGATGCTGGTGCTGATGCATGAATGCTGTTTACAAGTAGCAAGATGTTAGACACTTTCAACCAATTTGCGGCAGCAAGTGCAATCTACTTGCTGTTGCCTGCTGAGCAGTATCAATGCCAGGGATGAAAAATTACTCAATAAACTCATCAAGAAGGCTGGGGACACTGTAGGACTCAAGATGGACACGTTTGAGTCAGTGAGGGACCAGAGACCACTGAGCAAGCTTCTCTCCATTTTGAACAATCATTGAAATTCTCTCTATGACAAGCTACAGAAAAGGAGCTCTTTCTCAAACAGACTTATTCAGCTTCAGTGCCGGAAACAACGCTTCAGACCATCTTTGATACCATTCGCCATTAATTTATATTGCATACACTGGGTATGAAGAGGATCCACCTGGACACTGCAATAGCAGATACATTTTTCACATGTGCAATGAATATTATTCGAATGTGCAATATCTTTGTGCATTTGTAATGGCTATTAACAGGTTTGCTGCATGTTTAATACATAGTGGTTTATTTGAATCATTAACATGGCATTGCATATTCACTGCCATTGCAGGTAACACCTTAAATTAAGTCTTTCTTCCCTCCTATCTATCTATTGTTGAGGGAAGAGTGGCCTTTCTCTTCCCTGCGTGTTCGTTAATTTCGGACGAGGAGAATGTTGGTAATCCATATAAAGGCTGGAGTCGATGAACAGTTCCTTCGAAGGGTTTAATTTATTTTCTGCAGTTTACAAATCGATTCGGGCTCCTGAGGGGGTCCAGATTTCAATCAGGAAGCGTAGAAGAAACACGGCATTGCATATTCACTGCCATTGCAGGTAACACCTTAAATTAAGTCTTTCTTCCCTCCTATCTATCTATTGTTGAGGGAAGAGTGGCCTTTCTCTTCCCTGCGTGTTCGTTAATTTCGGACGAGGAGAATGTTGGTAATCCATATAAAGGCTGGAGTCGATGAACAGTTCCTTCGAAGGGTTTAATTTATTTTCTGCAGTTTACAAATCGATTCGGGCTCCTGAGGGGGTCCAGATTTCAATCAGCAAGCGAATTCCTCTTTTGATGTTAAACAGGTCTTATGGAGGGGGGCCCTAAAAGTGATGGGGGTCAAGGGGCACTAAATGTGATTGTAAACACAGTGAGCAGGAAATGCCCCCAACAACATTCTACATTCTTTGTTTCTTTCAAATCCAACTAACAGAGAGGAATAATACCTTAACAATATCTATCTATCTATCTATCTATCTATCTATCTATCTATCTATCTATCTATCTATCTATCTATCTATCTATCTATCTATCTATCTATCTATCTATCTATCTATCTATCTATCTATCTATCTATCTATCTATCTATCTATCTATCTATCTATCTATCTATCTATCTATCTATCTGATCTACTCTAATGTAAACAATTTAATCTTATCCTATGGAATGATCTTTCTACATGTATCTGGCACAGTGAGGGCAAGGTGGAGTAACTTTGTGAATGGGTTTGAATCTGGAGTTTCTTCCCACATTCCACAATTAACACTGAAGACTTGGATGGGTTGAATGCGATTATGAACCCGTGTTTGACTGAACAGTACAATATGAGCCTGGCGATTTGAGTCCAGGGTGTACAAAGAAAATGGAGGATGAGAGGATGAATTGTGGATTTTCGTTTTAAATGTTTATCTACTCACAGTGCATTGTTGCCCCCTGGTGGATGCTTTCATCCAACCATCCATTTTCGAAACCGTTTATCCCCGCTTTCATACAATCACTGTAAATTGGACAATACTGTGTCTTCATCACGGTCTAAAATGACATTAGGGCTTTTCAGTGACACCTTTTACATCTGTATGTACCCGGGCATAGACACTTTATAGTACTCGCGAATGTGCACAATCAGTAATTAACTCAACCGGAAGAGGAAGGACAGAACTTTTCAGCTGGCTTTTCTCATGAACACTGCCGCTTTGTTGATTTGCCATTACAAGTTCATGCACCGGTACTCTTATCCTGGCTAGTTTTCTGAAATTTCCCCCATTACAGTTTTTAAAACAGCATCGCGATGCTTTACGTGATATTTAACAAAAAATACGTGACGGATGCACACTGCAGCAGGAGTTGCAACGTGAGAAGATAAGCCTCACTTAATGTTCTTTTGGACATTTGTTTATGATTGAAGTGCGTTCATGTTAAAGTGACGTGCTGAGGCATGGATACCCTGAAGAAAGCGCTTTCTGTACTTCAGGGCAAAGTTCTACTGAAAGTTTTGATCATTATTTTTACAAAACACCGAGCATTATTAATTTCGAACAGAAACAACTGAAGTGCCGTTACCTGCCAATCAAATCACCCAAATTAGGTTAATGTACTTTATTACAACCGTTTTCAATTTAGCAATATATGCTTCTTTTATGAGTTCTTTGCGAGGCATTGATTAAATTGTACTTTTTTTTTTTAATGTCGCTGTAGCGAGATGACATCATTAAGTTGCCGCTTTATGAACAGGTACTTTCCCACTGATCACGAGACTTCTTTTATTCGTGCCTGTTTTCATGACGTCTTCAAAATGAGCTTCGGGTCCGTCGCCATGGTAACAAAAACATAACCGACGAACGCTGATCACCTCGCCTGGAGTTTCGAGTCGGTGAGACTTGTATTCTTTTATTTTCTTCTTAAACTATGTGTAATTTCTTGTTTTATTTCACGATGAGCGCTATAGATTGTTTGGCTGTGACGAAAGACTTCTTAATTTACTTAAGCCAAAGAACACGCACTTTATACTGTATCGGTATAATGGGACAGTTTCTGTGAAACGACACAGAGTAATATTGAGGCTGGACGCATATTTGGTTCTACGTAAAATGATAAGATGTCATTCAACATCCTGTTTTGCCCTTACTGAAGCAGTTTGATAGACATATAACAACAGCAAAAAGTTATTGTGATATTTATACTTTAAAAGTTCCTTTTTTTTCCTTCATTGACCTCAAAATAAATCAGTATCATTGCTATTATCTTAATACTGTATGTGCTTCCACTGCAGGTGCCGCCTGATGTTGACATGCAGAAGATGTTGCAGTCTCGAAAACCACGCCTGACTACAGTGGTCAATGAAATGCACCCACCTCGATTCCTGGAACTACTTGACCCGAGCACGACGGCCCATCAAAATGTAATCATGTACTATTCTGACCTTCATGGCTTGTTAATGAACCAACTTCAAAAAAAAAAAATGCAATTTTTATTTTTATGGGCAATGAAAATAAAAGGTGTCATTTTTTTCAATACAAATTGAGAGCATATTTTAAATGTATGCACCAATGAGAGCAGTGACCGCTTGAAGTAAAAGATAAAGTATATATTGTCTTTCTAAAACTGCACTAGTCCCCTGATTAGATAACTGTGGATAGTTTAGATCAGTGGTTCTTAACCTTTTTATAGCTACCGAACCCAACCAGTTAATATGCACATTCACCGAACCCTTCATGAGTGAAAAATAAATATGTATATATTTTACAAATTCAAGATATAAACAAACACATTTATTAAAAACAGAAAAGAGTAAATAAAATTTCAAGGGATAAGTATACTTTTTTTCTTTTTAATTGTACGACGTACTATTACGACAGTCACACGTTGACTGCTAAGCGAACTAAATTTACCACAGCACTGACTGGACAAGCAATGTAATGTGATCATCTGCAGCCAGTGACTGCCAAGTGGACGTAACTAATTAACATGCTGAGTCGCGTGTGTCTTACCCTCCATGGCAAAGGCTCCGTCCGACCCCTGAGACCGACTCACCGAACCCCTGGGGTCCGATCTAACCCACGTTAAGAACCACTGGTTTAGATATTTCATCGCTAATGTACACATCAACTGCCTTTTGAGCAACCTATGTCGGTGCTCTGGATTTTAGAATCTGATGATAAAGGGTTATAGGGTTAGTCATCCAATTTTGGGGGGGAGTGAAAAAAGTGTTACACACTCCCAATGAATTGTGATCAGGACTTGCAGACCTTTGAACGCTAATCAATAATGCAAACACTCATTTTGCAGTTATCTGTTTGGTGCGATTGTATGAGAATAAGACAATAATGATGATAACTTTGAGACAGCATTTGATGTTGAAAAGATACCTTTGTTGACTTGAAGAAATCCAGACCATACATGATTAGAGTACAAAATTCAGTTATTCTGGATTGGACGCCAACGAGTCCAGAATGCCCGTACTACCCGGCCTCATGTCCAAATTCAATTGGGATAGGCTCTAGCTCAACTGTGATAGAAAACGGATCGATAATTATAGTATGAATGTATTATTTATACTCTCCATTGTGTTTTTTTGGGGGGGTGGTTGTGATTAATTTTGAAGATGTAGAGTTGAATTTGAAGAAAGAGTAAAACGCATTGTGTCGGTGTCCACATTTTTTTTTTTTTTTTTAAACAAAACTTGTGTTTTTGCAGATGCCCCTGGTGGATGTGGATCAGTCACTTTTTCAGCCCCACCCTCCTGAGTTAGTTTTCCAGAACTTCACTCCTGCACAGTCTTACAAGCTACCTCTGCAGCTGTTCAACAATGATAAGGTGTGGATTTAACTAAGCTGATCCCATTTTCTAGCATTTCGTCGGACCAAAGCAGCACAAAAGCAAAAATAATGTGTTATCTGTGTTTGTTTGTTTTGGCATGTAAGAAAAGAAAAAAAAGTATAAAACATACTTGAATGTTTCCAACTTTGTGTTTGATGCTCTGTTGATTTGAGAATTTTCATCATGCCTTTGGCAATTTGTGCTTGCTTCTTGTCAAGATATCACGGCATGTCAAGCTGGAGCATCAGGAGTCCGCTTATTTCCACGTTGAAGGTCCAAAGGAGGCAAAAACTAAAGTCGCGGCAGGACTGTCGGTGGGCTTCACAGTCTGCTTCACTCCACAGGAGAACAAGGTACCTTCACTTTCACTAAGATACAGTTAATATACAGTACTTTGCTTCAAATACACCACGTGTAGGATTTGTCTGTTACACGAATAGATTTCCAATTATTTGTTTCAACGCACCACTAATTTTAATCACAATTTTGATCTGTACTGCATGATTACTTGTTTATACTGTATATTGTTCACCTTCATAATCAACAAATAATTTGTGCACCTCAGCAGACTCATGTCATTCCAGTATAATTTCACATCATAATAGGCACTGGGTGCAGACCAGAAATCAGCCAGTATGTGCATTTTACCATAATCAAGTGGCCAAAGTCAAGAAGATAAAATGTCATCCTATGTGAATGTTTGACTTGACCAGTACAAATTTGGGAAGTCAAGCAAAGTAAGCAGAAATAATAATGACAGATTCTTTTCTAACAACCTCACCTGACACATCATTGTTAGTTTCTAACAACCCGTTCTTAACTTTTCTTGACAGGACTACCACCATACTCTGTTTTTTGTGACAGAGCGGGAGCACTTTGAGGTGCCGATCCGCGCCATTGGCCCAAGAGCCAGTTTGAACTTCCGCGATGAGTTACATTTGCCCGTCTGCCTTGTGAAAGCCTCCACACAGAGGACTCAGCTTGTACGCAACCTTGGAGACCGCATAGCCATCTTCAAATTACAGACACAGAGGTGACTACTGAATTGAAAATCAAATTGTGAATGCACACCAAAAAATGTGATGTGTAAAAAAAAAAAAAAAAAAAAAAAGAGTCAGTTTCAACATTTCTATTCAGACCTGTAAACTCAATTTAGCAGCCTGAAGCTGAATTGGAATTGCAATGGCATTTTTCTTCAGGCTGCAGGCTGCCACTTTCCCTTTTTTGGCTAAGTAGCCATTCATCTCATCCCATTCCAGAGCTTCCCCCGGCTGTCATGATTATACCGAACTATACTTGAATTGCACATCCCATAGGAGGCAGGCAGTGGCTCATCCATGTGATATAGCACCACCCCTTCAGGTTGATTTCAGCAAGCCTAAAAAGACCCTGAAAATTGGAAAGGGCAAACCTGTTTTATGGGAACTGTGCAAAATGTGCCTTTTAGTAAAAATGTTTAGATTTATTTCTAAACTAATATAGGAAATTGAAATTCATTTGTACTTTTTTCACATTATTTAAACTTAGTTGTAGTTCTATATCACTGCACCAATTGCACCAATTGCAAAGCTCAAACGACATGATGTACGTTGACGGTTTGCCTAAAATGATTTTGTTAACTGAAATTACGGAGAGAAACCCTAATTTTGCTGTGTGTTTACCTTTCTGCCCGTGCACACCTCTAGATAAGTTGAAGTGCCAACAGGTTGTCAAGTAATGCAAATGTTAGCCACTCTGTGACCTTGCGGTATTTCTATTTCAGTCCCTTTTCGGTAACTCCCTTCTCTGGAACTCTTGATATTGGCGAGAGCATGCAAATCACCATGGCTTTCAATCCGATGACTGCAGGAGACCACCGTCAGGATCTGTTGCTACACTATGATACTGGTACAATATGTGGAAATCGTGTTTAATAATGTAAGCTAGATAGTATTTTCTGGGTGTTTTTGTGAATTCAAGTCATCATATATTGCACATCCATGTGCCTGTGGGGAAAAAGAAAATCTCACTCGCCTACATACTTTATTTGAACCGTAACGTGCCTTCAAAATATGATTACAACCCAGCAGAGTAATGGTAAGGTTATGTACTTATATATTTATCCTATGGTGGCAAAAGTGAGTCCCAAAAGCCATGCGTAAAGTTTAATTTGTTAGGTTTGTTTACTTGTGTGTTGTCATTGTCAATTGTTGTGTTGCCACTTCTGGCGTTTACCTCGTTTTTCGGTGGTTGTTTTGGGATATGGGTCACTTAGAAGTTGACGTAGCAAAATAAATACATAATTAAATAAACAATTTACAGCCCCCCTCGCTCCTTTTCCTCTGCTCAGGTGAAGATGTGCATATCAGCCTCCATGGTTCATGTGTGGAGCTGAAGCTAAATCTTATCCCTGAACACCTTACTTTGGAAAAGACCTACATATCTTTGTCCAACACACATACGGTGTCACTCAGCAATAGTAGTGATACCACTCTTAAATACTGCTGGACAACATGGTCAAGCCAATCAGAAGAGATGCAGTGAGTATACTTTGCTTCTGCCTTTCCTGCAGTTCTATTAAAAAAAAAAAAAAAAAAAGCGAAAACGTGCTATCCAGTAAGCATATCTTTACAGTCATGCTAGTTTACAGAAGGCTGTTACTTTTCAGGCAAACACTCTCTCTGTTGCTTGTTGTTACTCTTTGTATTGCCTTTCCCTTGTCCCTCGACTCTAGGGATTGCGCAGTGCTCGAGTTGCAGCAGAATGTGGCTTCACATTTGCTTGTTCCTTGCCAGTCTGACCCCACAGCCGATCATCGACCGGGCCTCCTCGCTCTCTCAAGAGGATGCATAACAGTAGAACCAGCGGTGTGTTTGTGTCTTCCTCTTCTACATCCACTTACTGAAATAATTTTTTGTTGTTATTATCCCATTGCTTTTGATCATCTGAGACTGGAAAATAATTTTTTTTAATGATGTGGAAATGAATTGTAAAACCATAAATGCACAGGAAAATTATTGGATCCAAAAAGATGGAGCTGTTGTTTGTAAATCAGACTTCTGAATGTCAAGGTGGCTGTTTTGGGGTTTACTTCTGAAGGAACCTCAGGTCTTGGCCTTTTTCAGTATCTTCAGTCGTCATGAAAAGAATTTCACACCGTGTCTGCCTGTTTGGCCTTGACTCTAAAATGCCCTTTTCCCATTTCTTTAACATGGCACAGTTGGGAGAAATATGGCCGAATACCACGGCGCGTTTCACTGTTGTCTTCAAACCCGATGAAGCCAAACTATACCAAGAAACCATATATTGTGATGTCACAGGTAAGTGCTTGCCTGGAATTCACAATTTATTGAGTTGAATCAAGCTTACCAATTAAATCACAGCTCATCTTTATCGGGCTACTGGTTTAACGTGGAATGTTGACAATTATGGGGGATTGGAATACAGTTCTGCTCCACATGGGTATACAAAATCATATTCGACATTATACTTTACAGTAGCCATACATATAAGGATACCTTTTCTAATTTGACTTAATTGGCTCTATTTTTTTTTTTTTGTGACGGGTGTTAAGTCCTGCCCAGCGCTTAGTGTATTTCTAAGTGAAAGCTGGTTCTACACAATGCCAGTAATTTCACAGACGAACACAAGGCTGGTGGTACTGCGAGAGGAAGGGCTACGCCGCTGTGGGGGTGATCACAGCCGACTTTAATCATGGTCAATCAAGGTGTGCTTTCATTCCCTTGAAATGCGGCACGTTAGTCGTACACTCAAGTCTCAATGCGACAGAAGCACATCTGAGCCGTGAAGTGGGCACTTGGAGATGAACCCTCACTATGACCACCCCCACCCCATATATGTGGCGCCCAGGGAGCTACCCAGCTTGATGGACACTGGTTTGCCAATTTGACAAACATATGCAGCGACTCTTGCGCAGCTACAAAAATAATTGAAAATTCTCCGGCATTTGCACCAATCTACGTAAAAAGAAACCCCACGTCTTCTTTGTTTTACTCTGACTCCTTCGGGTCATTTGTGCTGAATAAACTTCCTTATGCTTGCTACGCTGTACTTTTAGGCAAAAAATCTCGCATCCCTCTGATTGTCAAGGGTGAGGGTTTGGGACCTGCAATGCAGATCAACTGTGACCTAATGGAAATGAAAAACATATTCATAGGCCACACTGTCTCTTATGAGGTAAGACTTGACAAAAAAAAATATCGACCAGTTTGTGAATGCAAACATTGCAAGTAAATGTTCTCATCCTTTTTGGATTCCCGCAGGTGCAGCTGTCCAACAATGGGCTGATTGATGCCCCTTTTGAGTTCTCAAGCCCTAGAACCACTTTTGGTCAATTTTTCTCCTTCACTCCCAAAAAAGGCGTTGTTTGCTCCGGGGCTGGTCATGTGGTTAAAATTACCTTCCGCAGTAACATTTTGGGAACTTTCTCTGAGGGCTTACTGCTAACTGTCATCGGGCAGCCTCAACCACTTACTCTTACCTTCAGGTGAAGTTACAATGTAATACCTCTCTCGCTGTGACATGACACAATGACTTTGATTATGAAAATGGTTTCAATATTGTAGTTAAAGTACCTTGTATGATTTTTTGCCTTTGCAGCACAATAACTCTGATTTTCAAACATTGGTTGTTGTTGTTATTTTTTTTCACATATTTAAACCATTTGATGGATTATATTTTTGTTTTCTGTTTCAGGGGCTGTGTTATTGGGCCCACTTTTCACTTCAGTGTTTCAGAACTCAATTTTGGAGATGTTGCCTACGGTTAGTCTATCTTGCCAGGATACTCCATGTTGAAGGAAACATTTTGTCCCCACAATGACAGTAATAACATTTTTCAAGTGTCATAATAACATCAAGTCACATCTGTGACATGATCTTGTTAAAATACACCAAGAATCAAGAATTTTGGTGCAATTTTCAATTTCTGTTTTGAGACTTACTAATATCAGCCTGTTTTGAGGGGGCGATGCTGTCTTGCGTGCTGCTTTCAATTAATTGACCCTCTTTCAGCAGTGTGTGCAATGCAAGTACAGCTTGCGTGGGGCTGTGAAAGGGTGCCACCCAATTTAATGTGAAAAACTCTTCAGAGTTTTTACGGGATTGACCTCTCACTGCAGATTAAAGCTTTTATGACCATGACAACTGGGGATGGAGCTAAGAGGTTGAACAAGGCTAACGGCTTCCAAATGAAGCCCTGACTGTGGAAAAGAAGCAAGTGCCTGAAAAAGACAATTGTACTTGTAGAACCAGCACCTCATACACTTTTTTTTTTTTTAAGTTCAGAAAAATACCCCCATCCCTTCGCATTTCGACAACTTCACCGAGCATTCAAGTATGTGCCGGTTATCAGAAGCTAATGCTAATTAGAGCCTCAATGCCACTCTGCTCATCCTAGCCCTGCCAACTCTGGGCAGAGAAGTTGAAGTGGTCAAGTGGTTATGTCAATCAGCCAAATAGTAATGACACATTTTTCGAAGATTTACTTTGTTATTTATTTTTCAGTGAAATGTGTGCTGGGACTCCACAGACATGGAACAATCAGTATACAAGCAATTAAAAAAAATCCATAATATGGTCCCTTTAAAGTATGTTTTTAATTTAATATATTCTCGACATGCTACACAGTATACAGTAGAGGCAGAGGAATGAGAGCGAGACTGGGGGTGTAACCCCCCAATTTTTGGCCTGCCTATTAGCACATCATTTTTTTCACACCCCTTTTTTATGGGTGGTGCGTATTTATTGCTTACCAGTAGCTTAATTATACGTGTACAGTCTTTTTCTAGCAATTGTACGAGCCCCGGGGTTATTGAAAAAAAATGTAATTTACTCTCGCAGCTTCATTATGTTTCACGTTACATCGTTTGTCTTTTACTTTTCATGTTTTTTTTTTCTGTTTTTGGCAGGTTTCCCTCAAACAGAAATGTGTTCCCTCGTTAACACTTCCTTTGTTCCAATGAGCTTTTCCCTGCGCGTTGTGGGAGACGGAATGGGCTCTCCCAGTGTGACCAGTGATCAGCAAGTGTGTGAGTTGTGTAGGAACAACTGGCAAGGCAGTACTGCTCATGACGGCAGTACTATGCCTGTTGAGTTCACCGTCAGTCCTGCTGTGGGTTCTGTGCGGGCCATGGCAGATGTCAGCATCAAGGTACAGTGGACAATTAAATTCCAGGTTGTATTAAGTTTGTCCTGCCCACTTCTCCATTTTCAGACAATGAACTCCTCTCACTTGTGTTCAACTCACCGATGCCTCATTTGTCCTTGGGGTCATTTGTTTGGTTTTGTTAAATTAAGATTTAATACATCACTTCCTCTCTTTATTGCTGCACTCAAAGGAAATATATACGTTTCCACATTTTGCCAGACTCCATAATAATGTTAAATTATCAAAAACAAAAGATGATTTATTTAAATGGAAATTTACTATGAATACATATTCCGTTTTTTAAAGGTCCTTATAGTGTAAGATGTTTGATACCTTAACTTCCAGTTGATTTTTTTGCTCTTTACTCTATTTTGTAGTAATTTAGCATTAGTAAGTTATTTCATTATTTGAAAGGAGAAATTAAGTTATTATAACTTTGACACACATGGACAAGACTGTTGCTACCCATCTGTTAACAAAAGAAAACCTCACAGTTGTCACAGAAATGTATTTGATCAACGTGACAATAAAAATGTGATGAAAATTAACCAATGAAAATCAGACATTGCTTTTCATTTGCGTTTTAACAGAATTATTTGGAAAAATAAACTCATGAAATGATCCTTTTGAAGATCTTTAATTCAACCATTTTTTTTTGAAAAAAAAATCTTGTATGCCTGAATTAGTTAAATTTTTGCAGCATTTGTTTATAACAAATAAACCTATTATCAATGTATATTGTTGTTGTTTGTGTTATTATCATATGCAATTGAATAAGTAGACCATTCCAGAATTCGAAATTTGGGACTCTGTAAATTCCTTAATGGGACTCATACTTTTCTGATCAGCGAGTCCCTGGGACTTGCAGGGCTCAAACTGTAAAATGATCACTGGATCTATCACGGTTTCTTCATAGTGCATGTTTGTACATTGTCTCAACAGGTGTCATTGTGCTCCAACACAGTCAAACATTACAGGATGGCTCTGGTAATAGATGTTGAGGGTGTTGGAAAAGAGATCATGGCTCTGCCCATTATTGCAAGGTAAGACACACATGTAGAAGACAAGCTGAACCCAGCAGACCAAAATCAGACCGGCAAAGCAAAGTAAACATTTTAAATATTTATTTTACACAAAATATAGTCATAGTGGGCAGCATCGGAGAGCTTGTGGCTAAAACATCTGCTTGACAACTGATATTGTCCTTCCACTGCATGGAAACCACTGGATGTTGTGAGGCATGCCGCCGCCATCTAGTGGTGCGGTTCTCAAGCACACTTGCAGCTCCAATTTTTCTCATACCTCAAGATAATATATTTGTCAAATGAAGTACCTCGAACAACTCTTAAGGCACTTGTATCTCAAGGAACCACTGTCCAAGCAATGAAAAAGTCAGTGTTCCATAATACTGTATGCCCCTATTATTGTTGCGATCAGCAAGTGAGGCTCAAAAAACTTGCTCTCCATTCCTCCTCTGCTCTTTGGAAAGGTGTATTGTTCCAGAGATCATGGTGGAGACCCCAGTGGTGGACTTTCAGAAGTGCTTCCTCAATCATCAGTATGAAAAGAAAGTACGCCTAACGAACCAAAGTGCTCTGCCTGTCTGCTATGGCATGCTAGAACAGGTAAAGCAGTCTTCTGTTGCTAAAAAAATAAAAATAAAAATGTCACAGAATGAGTGTGCGTGTGTGCGTGTGTGCGTGTGTGTGTGTGCGTGTGTGTGTGTGTGTGTGTGTGTGTGTGTGTGTGTGTGTGTGTGTGTGTGTGTGTGTGTGTGTGTGTGTGTGTGTGGGATTAAAACTAAAAGCTTCTTTCTTTGTTTAACAACAAATAGAGCAGGGGTCGGGAACCCTTTTGACAAAGAGAGCCATGAAAGCATATACAGTACTGTATTTATATATAAAATAAGTATATATACAGGTATAACTGTATTTTAAAAGTGAATTCAACAAAATGTCAGTATAATAAGCCTCTGAATGTTTATTTTTTAAATAAATTTGTTGTAATACTCACCATTAACGTGAATGTTTTTCCGTTCCTCAACGATTGCTCAAGATCCAGCAAAGATAGCGGAATTATAGTCATCTTGCCGGGTCCATATGCGGAGTTGCTGCAGGCTAGCTTGCAGCCTGCTCAGTTGCTTGCACGCTTCCTTTCTGTTGTCTCCCGCAGGGTATTTTGATGCGAACGTAGCATGGCACGTGTCAAAGTGCCTCTTTACATTCGACCGTTTCATCGATGGTATTTTGTCATTGCAAATTAGACACACCGCAGAATCTGTTCTCTCCACAAAGACGAATACTTTGGTCCATTCGTCCTGAAGGGTACCACACTCGTCATCATTTTTTCTTTTCGTTTTATTCGTCGAAGGATTCGCTTTGAGCTAATGACCGAGCGGGCTGATTCAAAAAGGGGGCGTTTACCTGTTACCCAGCAACGGCCAACATAGGCCAGTATGATCCAATTAAAATTGCTCCTGCCGCCAACTGCAGCCCTCAACAGGACATGAGCAGTGAAAAATCGATGTATGGATTAAACAAGCGAGAATATTTTGTTTTATCGGCGAGCCAGATGCAATCATCAAAAGAGCCACACCTGGCTCGCGAGCCATAGGTTCCCGACACCTGAAATAGAGGATTGATCGTTTTTGTCAAGAGTCAAAAGACTGATAAACTTTTAATGTATAACTTCTTTAATAAGTGCTCGAGAAACACTCTAAATTGCCATTTCATGACCTTGTTTATGGGATAGAACAAGAAAAGGAGTTTGATGGGATACATTGAACTCATCGATAATCACGAATTTCTCATATTTGATATAACACGATCGCAGTCAGTGTGATGGTATATGCACATACAGGTATACAGAGGCGACATGTACACGATGCAGAGTAATTGTATACATAATTTCCCCGTGTTTAGGAATATGAGGAGAGCCCTTCAGTAATATTTGGGAGTACTTCATCCAGGGGAGTGATTCCTCCTCACAGCTCAGCAGATCTTCCTGTTTTCCTCCTGGTGAAGAATGTTGGAAAGCAGCATCACACTCTTTACATTGCTCTGTTTGGTGGCATTCACCCACCACTGGTAAATGTGTGCTCACATTACGTTTCCTTCTACTAGCCATCGTGTATTAATTTATTGTTTGCTTATCCCCTTGTCTCCTGTGCCCCTTTAGGAGGTTGTCTTGTCATGCACTGGGCGTGGTCCAATAGTTCACCTTCAGTGTCAGAATCAGCATCTAGAGTTTGGCAAAATACCTGTTCTGACAGACGTTACTAAAACTATTCCCCTGTCCAACCAGTCACCTATTCCAGCATGCATCACAGCACGCATGGTACAAATACTCAAATTAGATGAGCCTCTAAATAAATGCAATTGACATCACATAGAAAAAAAAGAGATCTAAATATACCATTCAGAATTATTGTTTCTATTTCTATAGAGCCAAGGAAAGTCCCCGTGGCATGTTGAACCCAGCGAAGGAGAAGTGCCACCACAAGGCCAACTGGAGCTCAAAGTTGTGGCGAATCTAAAAGATACACTTTTGTTTCAAGACAAACTTGAGATTTCCATTCAAGGTAGTCAAACCCTCACCGTTGCCGTGTCTGCAACGGGCACAGGCACCACAATTGTCAGTGACAAACCCTTATTTCCAAATCTCGACCTTGGCACACACTTCAGGTAGTACCAATTGATTAAAGTAACAAAAAAAAATCACTTGAAATCATATAGCATCTTGTCATACATTTTTTAAAAAAATTTTATGTGTGTCCTCAGCCATGGATCGTGCGATTTCTATTTCAAAGTGACCAACTATGGCCAACGAGTACACCGACTTTATTGGAAGATCGAGTGCTCATCTGGTCGGACTTTCCTACCCTCCATCTCAGCTGTAAAAAAGAGGGATTCCGTTACCACTGGGTGGTGGGCATCCCCAACTGAAGACAGACCAGTATTCAGCATCAGCCCGACGCGTATGGAACTTTTCCCGGGTGGCTCGGTTGACATGGCACTGAAGGGATCTTCAGACTACCCCAAGGTGAGCTAGCAGAACAGTACTAAGAGCACCTTTTTCCATTTGAATACTATTCAGTACCGGTTTGTGTGTCTGTTGCTTAGTATTTTATGTGTAATGAGTCAGTGGCTGTTGCCAGTGGTAGTTCCATGTCAAGTGTACGCTGTCAATTCTGTCGACCCGTGTAAGCGGCCTCAAGACCTCAAAGACCTGGGCTCTCATTTATCAGGCGTGGGTATGAACAGAAGTGTGCGTAAAGCGTGCTGACGGACATTCCCACACAGAGTATGGGATTTATCAATTTGGACTTGTGTGTGAGCATATACGTACATTTAGGCATAGCTCTGACCATGTGTGTACACAAAACTTAATAGAACAGTGAACCTTCAGATAGAAACACGAGACAGAAATCACAAACAAGCCAAAATGAAACAAGGATTTCCCAAACATTGTTGGAGCCATAGAGTAATCGCAACAACATTTTAATGAAACACACAAGTCCAGTTACATGAACAGGAAATGGTGTAATTCAATTCATCCACAAACAGTCTGCGATCTATGGACTGGAGCAGTGAACGCAAAATTGATCCATTCTTACCAAATGGGGATCCAAATAACTTGCTCGCCCTCCTTCAGTTTGAGATAATTGTCTCTCAGTGGGCAGTGACTGTTTGTTTGTTTTTTGGGAGGGTTGGGCAATGAGTTCATGGCAACCTTTTTTTGTTTTTTGTTTTGCTTTTATTGGTAACATGTGCTGCTGTTTGCACTTCTCAGACAAGAACCTCAATGTCGTCTCTGAGAGTGTCGCTACCCTCGTTGCCAACATTTTGGATTTCTTATAAAGTCAAAAGGAGACGATTCTCAAGGCAAATGAGGAGCGCTGTCACGTTGCGTACTAGGCAGAAAGAGAGAA